TGTGATATCATCCCCACCAAGTCCAGGTAATATGTGATATCATCCCCACCAAGTCCAGGCAATATGTGATATCATCCCTACCAAGTCCAAGTAATATGTCATATCATCCCCACCAAGTCCAGGTAATACTTTCAGTACAAAACATTTTTCTGTACGTGCAGTAATCCATGTCAAATGTGTAATCATATCCTTCTTACAGTCCATATTATGTACTTGAGAAGGACTTCATGTGATATATATATAGCTCCCCACGGGCAGCTGCCATGGGTGGAGCACTTTTTCATGGTGTATTGACTTAATTCTCCGATATATATATATATATATATATATATATATATATATATATTTTTTTTAATGTCTGGTGTCTTTGCAGCACTTACAATGTGTTTGTGGAGGACTTCATGATCCGTGACATCAGGTTTATCAGCTATATCGCCACATACCAGGATGTGAAGAATCTATTGGAGACATCCAAGTTAAGGACATTCCCATTGGTGGATGCCCCAGGTAAAGTGCACAGACATATGTGGTAGCACTGGTAAAGTTTTGATTCTTTCCTACCAATCAAATGGAGAAGTGCCTGAAATCCCAATCAGGAATCTCTAATGTGTTTTTAACCAGGGATGGAACCATGGTTCTTGGAAGCAGTGTTGAACCAGTCACATTTTTTGTTTAAAGCATAATATATGTATGAAAGCTCTTCTGTCTGCCATTATTTTGTCCTGTCTGCTATACCTTGAACATAGCACTGGCATATCAGGATCTCTGTGGGATTCCAAGACATAGGATTTATTACCTGAACATTATGCACTGTTATGTAGTCTTCTTACTTAGTGTTATATTCTAGTATGTCAGTTTTACATGATATTATCAGGTTTGAAAGCACCTTTCCTCTGATATTCTGATAGGCTTTTTCACCAAACAGTTTATAACAGGTATACATAAGACATTTATTTTTAGTATTTAGACCACTAACATATTGTTATATGTATACAATATAATGATATGCCATTCAGAAGACAATCATATCCATTATGTTGTGTATATTTCCAGAGTCCATGATTCTCCTTGGGTCTGTACAGAGACTGGAGCTGGAACTGTTACTGGAGGCTCAGCTTGGACGACAGCGCCGCCTGGCAGCAGTAGAAGAGGCATTACATAAACAGCAACAGGAAGAGGAGGAGAGGAAGAGAGCCAAGGAACAGCTGGAGAAGAGGACATCCCAAGGCGATACCGAGGGGACGCGACCAATGGCAGCCTGCAGTGGAGATATGTTGAATGCCGTGAAGGTCCACCGCCAGCCGTCTGCCAGGTTTACGGTGACCCCTGCAGCCAGCAAGGTGGACAGTGGTGGACAGGTCCAGTTGAAGCTAGACTCCACGGTAAACAGTGTGTCTGTGTTTGTGGATTTGAATGATAATCACAAGGACCATTCCCACAGATATTTGGAGCAATCTGTCTCCCTGGGTAGTCTCACTACATTACTATCCCCTAACTGGCTTGAATGTCTGTCATGCCTAGTAAAGCTGATAGGGTGTAATTATCTTTACCCCCTAGCTAATTCGGTAGATGTGACAAACATTTAAGATGGTTAGTTGATAGCAATTTAGTGAGACTCCCCAGAGAGTTAGATAGATCCAAATAGATGGATCGATCTAGGCATGAGAACCCAGTCTTAATCTTTATTATCCAGAGAGTTGTGATAATATATGTGAAATGATATTACTACATTATCTCTGCCGTCATTCCAGCCACCAGAACAAACAGCTAATGGAGACACGCTGAAACCACACAAGTACACCAAGGCACCACAGAGAGGGATATTAAAGAAGAGTCCCCGTCCCAGCCCCCGGGCTAGTCCCAGGGCCAGTCCTAAAGGAAGTCCTCAGTCTTCACCTCGCTCTAGTCCACCAGGGTCTGCCAAGACAAGCCCAACACCCAGTCCACAGTTAGGTTAGCCAGCTCTGGGCTACTACACTGGTCTGAAAGTTAACTTTTGATGGATTAAGAATATGGCTTAGTTAAAGGACTGTCTAGAAAATATTCCAGTTTTTATTTAAATCACACTACAATTTCTCAAAAAAAAAAAAAAAAATGAAGGGTATGGTGTGTATAATTTTGTATAAAATAACAAAATATCATGAATAATCATTTAAAATTACTGAATTAGAGTAATGTGATTATTAAGTAATCTTTACATTAGCTTACTTGATACAAGATGAGGTTAAAAATTGCTTACATTTAAAAAGATAATTTTGACCCTCTATAACAGGTACCTATATAGTATATACACCTTTAGGTTTATTTACCATCACACTATTGTTTTCCATGTACCTTTCTCTGCTTATTTTGATAATGAAGTTTGATTAATTTTGATTTTACAGAAAAGAAATTCAGCATTGGGCTGGCAAAGATTTTCAAATCTCGAAGTAAAGAAAGTATCGCGGACAGTATGGCTTCTGAAGATGATGAAGCTCAGGTAACTATGGCAACAAACTGATAAACAGCATGGAATATTTTAGTTTAAAAGTCAATATTTACAGGGTTCTGTATTCTACTTATGAAGGATTAGCAGTGTGAGGAGTCAGGTATATCTAATTATATTATATATAGCATCGTGAATATCATAAGAGACATACATATATATATATATATATATATATATATATATATATATATATATATATATATATATATAGCATCGTGAGGGTAGTGGCTAAGTTTACATTTATCTATTCATCTGTGTTTAATGTTATTTTTGATTTATTTATATCTTTTTGCATGTGCTGTAGGTCTTTGCATACATGAAGTACCAGTTTGAGGTGAAAAGTTAATACTTGAAGATGTATATATATATATATATATATATATATAGTAATA